CTCCAACACCAACACTCAAAACTCACTGCCATTGAGTTGCTTCTGACTTACATTCACCCTACAGGACAGGGTAGAACTGCCCTTCTTGGTTGCTAAGACTATATCTTGTGTGTGTGTGTGTGTGTGTGTGTGTGTGTGTGTGTGTGTGTGCCTGAGACTAATCTTTATAGGAGTAGAAAGCCTTATCTTCCTCTTGAGGACCATCTGGTGGTTTCAGACTGCTGACCTTGTGAGTAGCATCCCAACAGGTAGCCCACTACACCACCAGGGCTTCTTAAATTCATTCTTAGCATTTCCTTATTTTCTTCTAATACTGTATGATCTGTAATGATACGTTCCTATTAGTTCCTGTTACTGTTAATGTGTGTTTTTCCTTTTCCTTGTTTATTCTTGCTAAAAGTTATCAATTTTATTATGTTCAAAGAACTAATGTTTGACTTTGTTCTTTATTATATAGTCTTAAATTTAAAATTTGTTTTCTTTGTTATTTTTGCCCTTCTATACAATGTGGATAAGCCCTGGTGGGTAACAGGTTATGCATGGGCCTGCTATCAGCTGCTACTCGAGAGAAAGATGAGGCTTTCTGCTTCTGAAAAGATTTACAGCCACAGAAACCCACTGGAGACCATTCTACCCTGTCATGTAGGATCTATTTGAGTCAGAATTGATTCATAGATTTGTTTTCTCTTTGGATATGATGTGGATTGCTTGTTCTTTCTCTAGCTTCTTAAAAAGACTTACTTTCAAGTCTTTATTTTCTAAAATGTTCACTATAAATGAATATTTTATAAATATGTTTCATTCCATAAATATGTTGTTTCATTCGATAATATGTTGTGCTTTTATTTTCCTTCTGTCAAAAAGATTTTCTAATTTCCTTTATGATTTCTTCTTTGACCATGGATAATTTAGAAGTATGTTATTTATCTTCCAGGCATTGGGATTCTCCTACCCCCGATTTTTTTCAATATCATTGATTTTTAAAACTTAATTCTACCATAATCAGAAAATATGCTCTCTAACGTTTCAATCTTTTGAAATATATTATAACGTATTGTATAACCTATCTTGGTGAATGTTTTTTGTACATTTAAGAATGTGTATTCCATAATTTTAGGGGAATGTGTTTTATAAATGCCAATTAGATTTAGTTGGTCCAGTTTTTTTTTGAATGGTACAAGTATGGATCTCTTCTAGTTAGATGGCCAACTAGTTATGTTCTAAATTTTCCTGGTATAGACAATTGAGTGCTTCCAGTACTTCGTCAGCTTGTTGAAACATTTCATTTGGTATTCCATAAATACCTGGCAAGGGGAATTCCAGAACACTTCATTGTGCTCATGCAGAACCTAGATCAAGAGGCAGTTGTAGGAACAGAATAAGGGAATACAGCATGGTACAAACTCTGTGTGTACATCATGGTTGTATCTGGTTACCATTCTTATTCATTCTGTGGGTTGAGCAAATCATCAGAGAAGCTGGATTTTGCAAACAAGAACCTTGCTTGCTGAAAGCAAGGAGGGCTTGAAGAATTTGTGGCTGAAGATCAAGGAGTGTATGGATGGAAGGAAGGGATGAAGCAATGGAAGAAGACCAAAATCCACACAACTGGAACAAAAGATAACATCACAAAAAATAGAGAAAATATCGAGGTTGTCAAGAACTTTTTCTTTCTTGGATCCACAATCAATGGTCATGGAAGCAACAGTAGAAGAGATGAAATGATATATCACATCAGATAAATCTGCCACACAAGACATCTTTACAGTGTTGAAGTGCAAGAATGTTACCTTGAGGACTAAGGTATGCCTCACTCAAGTCAAGGTGTGCCTAAACCAAGCCATGGTATTTTTAATTGCTCATATACATGTGAATGTTGCACATTGAATAAGGAAGATGAAAGAATCGACGGGTTTTAATTATGGCGCTGACAAAGACTATTGGACCGCCAGAAAAATTAAAGCAAATCTGTTTTGGAGGGAGTGCAGCTAGAATGCTCCTGAGAGGCAAGGATAGGGAGACTGGTCTCCCATACTTTGGACATATTATCAGGAGAGGCCAGTCCCTCGAGGACATAATGTTTGGTAAATTGAAGGGCTGCTGATATTGGCCGGGCGCACGCACGGCCACGACCCAAAGTGCGTGGGAGGTTGCCAGGCGCACGGATGGGCACACAGACGGGTGCATGCTGCCGTCGCCTCACTACCTCACCACCCTGACCTGCTGCCTGCTCACGGCCTCCCGGGGGGGATGTCGTGCAAGCCAAACTCGAACATGCACATGCCCGCTGCTGCCCTCAATGCGGCCAGGAGTGCCCATTCTCCTTCGACCAGCGTGGGGATGTCCTCGCAGTACCGCCAGCTGCTGAGTGACTACAGGCCACCATCCCTCGGGTATACCCAGGGAACTGTGAATAGCCAGGTACCCCATAGCAAGTATGCCGAGCTGCTGGCTGTCATCGAAGAGCTTGGGAAGGAGATCAGACCCACCTACGCGGGGAGCAAAAGCACCATGGCGAGGCTGAAGGGAGGCATTGGTCCGAGAGTGCTTGGTCGAGACGGAGCAGAATGCCAGGTCCTAGCACCCCGGTCGCCTTCAGGGCGTCCCAAGATGAGATGTGACAGCGTATCACCCCCATTTCCTTTGTTTTCAAAGTACCAACTCTTTTTGTCTTTTCCCCTCCCCATTCCCCTGCCATGGTTCACTGGATTGTGAACCTTTCCTCCTGAGTTGAAGGAAGACTTCTCAGTTGGTTAGGATTATTTGCCTTTTTAGTAGTTAGGCACTACCCAGGGGTTTCTCTCTCTCTCTCTCTCTTTTTTGGTGTGACTTTTTAAAGCATTTATTTAAAAACTGAAAGTGACTGATCTGATAGCAAACTCTAGTTTGCCCCTAAGATCCTAGGGTCTCAGCGTACTTTTTTCTTTTGAAGACCTTTGTGTCCCCCAGATCATCCTGTGTCCCTTTTCATAAGCGAACAACAACGTATAGGGTTTTGTCTGATTTCTCACCACCTTGACCATGCACACCTGCTCCATAGCCACACCCAGTTGGGCATCCTACCCACTTAGGCCCCCCTTTACAGAAACTTTTTGCTTTAGCTTTTGCATGACTTTTAGTGCTTTGAAGTCAATTTTAAAAATTCACAAGTTATAAATATAGAAGAAAGAGCAACTGACCAAACCGAACAAGGACAACCCTGAAATTTTTCATATCCAGACTGTGTAGATTTCAGTTTCCTGTGTGTTGATGCCGCCCCCCCCCCCCACCAAAAAAAATCAGAGAGAGCGGAAGGACTCCCAAATTGTTTGCATCTTTGTATGTATTTATTACTTGATGTAATAAAGCTTATTTTCATTTTAAAAATTGAAGGACAGCTAAAAAGAGGAAGGCCCTCAAAAAGGCGGATTGACACAGTGACTGCACCAATGGGCTCAGACACAAGAACAGGACAGGACAGTGTCCCATTCTGTTGTGCACGGGGTGGCTGTAAGCACTGACTCAACAGCACCTCACAACCACAAGGCCTTATTAGTGGATAATGTTCTTTAGATCTTGAGTATACTGATTTTTCTTTTTGGTGTATATGTTTTATTAATTAATAAGAAAGGAAGTGTTCAAATGCTTTGTTTTTGTTTTTTACTTAACTTCTTCAGTTTTGTCAGTTCTGCTCCATGGATTTTGGTCTTGTTAACAGATTCATACAAGCATACATTCTCCAGATGAATGTGTGCACAGTCCCTATGAATCGATCTGCTCTCGTTATGCCGTTTTATCACAAAGGCCATTATACTTTCTATTCCTTCCATCGTATGCTTATTCTTTCCACTTACCTATTTTCCTGGAACAGTATTTAATTTAAGGTCTCGGCTTAGAATTCCTTTATCACATATGTAGTTTAAATTAGATATTTATATTTTGTTCTCAACTGCAGATCTGAAATTTCTAAGTCACAGGAAAAATTTCCCCTACTAAATGCTAAACATTGTAGTGAGTAGAATTTCTTTAAGCTTCTTTATAATAATGAGCAGGGCCTCATTTCCTGCTCTCCATCCCCTCTCTGTAGAACAGGGCTGGGGAACCGTTTTTTCTGGCAAGGGTCATTTGGATATTGATAATATCATTCACAGGCCATACAAAATGATCAACTTAAAATTATCCTGCTGTATTTGTTCAAGTATTTAATGAACTCTAATATAATGGTTGGAATTGTTTCTCTTTGGTGAGCTGTGGGATGTAGGCTGGTAGTGATGATTTCTCAGGCCTTATATGGCCCATGGACTAGATAGTCTACACCCTTACTGTATAGTAATTAGAACCCTAGATTCTAGATTCTAACCCCTAGGCTTTTGGGACTAGCAGGCCCTTCGTGGTTCTGTGGCATTGGCTTATAATTACTAGCACACAATACGAATGCCTCTCCCTTTAGAACTTCACTACTTAAGAAAAAGATTGTTACATTATAGTTCATAATTCTATGTTTTTATATAGGGGTAGGGATAGGCATCCACTTAAGATTTATCATTTCTTTTCTTTTTATCTTTTCTTTCCCCAGGGGGAGAACATTAAAGTGATATTCTCTCAAAACTCAAAACTCCCTTCCACTGAGTCCATTTTGATTCATAGCAAGCCTATGGACAGAGTAGAACTGTTCCTGTGGGTTTCCAAGGCTATACATCTCTCTGGGAGCAGAAAGCCTCATCTGTCTCCCTAGGGAAGGCTAGTGAGTTCGAACTGCTGACCTTGTGGTTAGCAGCTCAATGGGTAATCACCAGAGCTCTTAATGATATTCTCAACTTAGGACAAAAGTGGAGAGGAGAAACAAGGAGAGAGCAGTATTAAATGAAAAAATTTGAAAGATAGCACACCCATTTCTTTAATTTACTTATATTCAACCCTTGCTATCTTCCCAGGCCCCTCCCTTCATCGAGACGTCCCTCATTTCCAACACTTCCCTGTGGGCTGAGAGTGGGCTCTCATGACTGCTCCTTTCACTACAGATTACTCCCGTGGCTTTGGTGGTGGTTATGGGGTGGAGACGGATAAATGGGACAAGGCAGCCCTGGGATATGACTACAAGGGAGAGACGGAGAAACACGAGTCCCAGCGAGGTGAGTTGGTTTGGGAGGAGGGAGGTTACAGATGAAGAGATCTTGCAGCCTTATAAGACAGAGGGGGTAAATGGGCAATGGAGGACGTGGATGAAGAGCAAGTGTGGGTGGGTAGAGGACAAGAAAGATGAAGAAGAAACCAGCAAGACGGGCTGGCTGGAGACTGCATGGTGGTTAGGTTATGAGTCTTTTAGGCCACGTTGCGTCACAAACAACAGAGAGATCTGTTTCTTTCCTGGCGTACATAGGGCTGGCTCGGGGTGGGGTGCTCTCCTTATGACATATTTTCCCATTTCTTCCTTTTAATCTTCCCATTTTCTGTCACTCTTTATATGTTGCCTGCTTCCCATCTCTTTCTTTTCTTCATTCTCTCTCCCACCCAGTTTCTTATCTTTCCTTCCGTCCCTCTCTATCCTGATTCTCACATTTCCTTACATCTCGCATAACTTTTGACATTCTTGGCTTCTAGTCTTTCCTTTCACAGTTCCCTCTTTCCACCCATGCCCAGTACTGTTAGGACTCTGAAACCTTTCTGTTCTTCAGATTATGCCAAGGGCTTTGGCGGCCAGTATGGAATCCAGAAGGACCGAGTAGATAAGGTAATGCACAGGAAGATTTTCCTAAGTGGCACCTGAAGTGGGCAAGACACAAAGCTGGGAAAAGGAAGGAACAATGGTGCTTGGTCCCCAAAGCCTGTTCTCCTGGTACCCTACATGTCCCATTGAACACTCTTTGCATCCAGCAAGCATGTCTCAGAGGTCTGAGTTTTAAACAGGGAGTGAAGGAGGCAACAAGAGACTGATAAATCCCAGGGAAAGGGGATGACAGACTTGAATGTTCATGGATTGCCTGACATTGCTTGCCCAATCTGTCGTCTCTTCCCACTCATGCCATCCACCACCACTGCACCAGTTCCTCCTCATGCATTGACCAGGGGCCCTAAAATATTCCAGTCAAGTAGGATTGAAGATGTGAAATCAAGGTACATTAAACATACACTAAGGGGTGCCAATCCAGTCATCGAAAACTGTTTCACTCTTCTCCCTCCCACAAAACAGTACTCTGTCCAACTATTGAGAATCAAATAGTTAGGGATACTTCTTGCAATGACCCTAGCCTTCATTCTGGCAACTGGGTCACTATCCCCTCCTTACTCCACCCCTGCTCCACTTACTATTCTCCTACCCACAGAGTGCACTTGGCTTCAATGAAATGGAGGCTCCAACCACAGCTTATAAGAAGACAACACCCATCGAGGCTGGTGAGTCTTAATGGTTCCCTCTCTCGATGCTGTTCTACCTCCTTTCCTGTCTCTTTCTTTTCCAAGACTATCTCTTCCATGTCTTTTACCACCTAGATCCACGGAGGTCAAATTGACCCCTACCTTTATAGCCTGGATTCTCCTGGCTGCAAATAGCCATTCCGGGAGACAGAGAGAGAACGTGTTATTGGTAAAATTATTGAGGACAAAGAACACAGAGTTGTTGGTTGCATTTGAGTTGACCTCCAACACACGGCAACAACTTATGTTACAGAGTCGAACTGCTCCAGTGGGCTTTCTTAGCTCTACTCTTTTTTTTCCCCTTTACTTTTTATTGTGATTTAAAATTGGTTTTCTCTTCAACAATCCACAGGCATTTTGTTTTGTGGCATTGATGGCAATCTCCACAATGTAACAGCTCTTGTCCCACTTCCTGTGTTTGCCATTCCCATTTGTTCTTTCCTGTTCCTTCCTGCCTCCTGAGCTTTCTCCCTAGGCAAAAGCTGCCCTTTTGATGATGTATGGTTGACTGTTCTAAGGGATGCCTACCTAGCTGGTGTCATTATTCAGCTTATAGATCAGTCGATTGTTGAATCGTTGGGTGACTTTGGTTCCAGGACTGAAGGACATCTAAGGACCGTAGTTGCAGGGGTTCCACCAATCTCTATCAGATAGTGAAACTTCTGATTGAATTTTGTTTCACATTTTTTCTTCCATTCTGGCTAGGACCTCCTATTGTGACCTCTTTCACAGCAGTTGGCAGTGAGAGCTGGGCACCGTTTAGTTCTTCTGGTCTCAAGGTCTTTTTTAGGCCTTTGGACCGATTGTTTCTTGGATTCTTTGATGTCTTTTTTCTTCTTTACTGCAGCTGCACCTAATATTGTTGCTTGTAGCTTTTAAGACTCCAGGTGCTACTCATCAAAGTAGGATGTACCAACTCTGTGGGTAGGAGAATAGTATGTTGTCTTTGAGGATTGGGTTATTAATGGACTATAATAATTATGAAAGTAGATAATCAGAACTTTCTTACACAGAGCCACCGGGTGGGTTTGAACTTCCAATCTTTAGGATAACAGCTGATTGCAAACCATGTGTGCTCATAGAATACAAAGAAAGGGAGTGAAATTGCTTGGAAAGCATAGATAGAGGTGGAAGTTGGTATTGGGATTGAGAGTAGGGTGGTGGCCAGAGCATATAGATTTTAGGAAATGGGAATGGGAATGGGTTCTGGTATGGGGAGCCAGGCTTACAATTTGGAAAGGACAAGGGTCTGTGGTAACACATCCTAGCTAGATGGAAATGTAGGCTTCAGGGCTACACCATCCTCCTGTTATCTCCTTGTTCCTCCATCCAAATTTCTCTACCCACTCCCAGTAGTCCAATCCCCAACTTCTCTCCTGAATATTTATTTGATTCCTATTGCTCCTTCAAGCTCCCATCGCCCCTCCAAATGTACCCCAAGACAATTCAAATCCTTGCTGTGCCTGCAGCTTCCAGTGGTGCCCGTGGACTGAAGGCCAAGTTTGAGTCTATGGCTGAGGAGAAAAGGAAGCAGGAGGAAGGGGAGAAGGCAAAGCAGCAGGCCAGGCGGCAACAGGAGCGAAAGGCTGTAGTGAAGACGAGCCACACCGTGTCTGCGGAAGAGCCAGTGGTGCCAGCACCATTGCCCAAGAAAATCTCCTCAAAGGTGAGGGCCTCTACTGCACCCAGGATCCCTTGCCCAGATAGGAGCCGATGAGGTTTGAAGCAATGGCAGAAAACAAGGCACGCCTGTTTTCTGTATTAGGCCACCTCCGTCCTTGCTGTCTCTCTCTGCAGGGAGATTTCAGGCTGCCTGAATCACTGGGGCTCCTACAGAAACTAATCAGTGAGATAGTCTTAGTACATTAGGAGACAGTATAGGCAGTCATTACTGCAGGAACCATAGCAAGATGAAGCTCACCTTGAGGGACAAGGTGGCTGTTAGGTGGCAGAGAGCCTGAGGACATGTTCCAGGTAGGAAAGGGGTGTCAACCGGAACACGGAGGTTTTCCTCACTAGAGAGGTGCTTCATTCTCCACAGGCCTGGCCTCCAGCAGGAAGTGGCTCACCTCCAGAGCCTGAGCCGGTGAGGACCAGCAGGGACCGCCCTGGGCCCGCTCTGCCTTCGAGGCGTAATCCTCAGGAGGTAAGCATACTCTCAGAGCTACTCCTCACTCCAGGGTTGTCTCTTCATGGATCAGGCTCCAAGCTCCAAGCTCACTGCCATCGAGTCGATGTGGACTCAGAGCGACCCTATAGGGCAAGGTAGAGCTGCCCCTGTCGGCCGAGACCGTGACTCTTGACAGGAGTAGAAAGTTGCATCTTTCTCCCACAGAGGAGCTGGTGGTTTTGAGCTGCTCACCTTGCAGTGAGCAGCCCGAGAGTGGACTATAGACAGTCACCCACCGGCCTGGTTTGCCTGAGAATGACCTGGTATCGGCAGGGAAGCTTGTGGCCTGGGAAACCCCTCAGCCTCCTGGGCCTGAGTGAGTCACCCTAGCTGGCTGTTCCTCACAGTGTCCTCTTGGTTGAGTCTTCTCTTGACTTCCGAGGAGTCTGACTCACATCCTCCCACCTTTTACAGTCCTCACACCATCACGTGGTGGCTGTTTTGAGTGTGTGGATATAGGGAGAGGTGGAGAATGACTCTGTGTCCCACCCAAGAAGCTGTTAGATGGGGGCCCAGGGGGACGTTGGAAGTGGCAGAGTGCTGGAAGGGGCAAAGGTGTCTTAGCAGTCCCCCACTGGGAGCTTTTGGAGAACAGCTCCTGTTGGGGGTACGGAGCTGACTCTCACATTTCCTCAGGACAACGAGGAGCCCCCAGCTCTACCCCCCAGGACACTGGAAGGCCTCCGGGTGGAGGAAGAGCCAATCTATGAAGCAGAACCTATGCCCGAGCCCGAGCCCGAGCCTGAGCCTGAGCCTGAACCTGAGCCCGAGAATGACTATGAGGATGCTGAGAACCTAGACAGATGTGAGCAGGAAGATGATGCACTGGGGGACTATGAGGACCCAGAGAACATGGACCGATGTGAACAGGAAGATGATGCACTGGGGGACTATGAGGACCCAGAGAACATGGACCGATGTGAGCAGGAAGATGATGCACTGGGGGACTATGAGGACCCAGAGAACATGGACAGATGTGCACAGGAAGATGATGCACTGGGGGACTATGAGGACCCAGAGAACATGGACCGATGTGAGCAGGAAGATGATGCACTGGGGGACTATGAGGATGTACTCGAGCCCCAGAATCCTCCTCTTCCCTCCACCCTGGATGGTGAGTAGCAGAAGGGCCATGGCAGGTCCCTGCTGAATGTGGTCATCTTAGGGAGGGAAAGAGGGAATGGGCTTCTCCTATTGCCCATTTTGGTCAGACCAAATTTCTCCTTATGCAGGATCATCAGGCCACCCAGCTGGGGCGAGGGGGACCTCAGCTGTAGCCCTGTATGATTACCAAGGAGGTAGGTGGGGAGTTGCCTGAGGGGCAGGGTGTCTGAGGGCCCCTGATATGAGAGGAGGTCCTATGAATTCTGGGGGTTATGGAAGGGCCCTGGCTCACATGCAGAAAGCAGCCAGGCCTCGTCCCTTCCCTGAATGTTAGGGCGGCGGCGGAGAGGCATTCTTTCTTGTCTGATTATCTTAATGTCCTCTCAATTTCCTTCACAGAGGGAAGTGATGAGATTTCCTTTTATCCGGATGACATCATCACAGATATTGAGATGGTGGACGAGGGCTGGTGGCGGGGACGTTGCCATGGCTACTTTGGACTCTTCCCTGCGAATTATGTCAAGCTCCTCGAGTGAATGGCTGTCCCCATTTCTTGGGCTTTGATGCCCCATGTCCAAAGTGGCTCCCCCTCCCCATTCCTGCTTCAAGTATCTAAGAGGATGTTGAGTTGCCAGAGGTTCTAGGCAGACTTCCTCCTCCAAGTCCATGAGAGTCTCAGAGGCAGAGGCAGCAGAAGGAAGGGGGTGTGCTGCCCCTCAGTGCCCTTACTACCCCAGAGAAGCCCCAAGCCTGCTCATGGACACTTATCTTGTGATCTTGCTGCTCCACTGATGAATGCTCTCTCTAACCATCCCAAGCTCTGAGCTCCTTCCTGGCTTTCCTGGTTTACCTATGGGGGGTGGGGAGGGAGGGTGCAGAGTGGGGGTACCAAGATGCCCTCATTTGCCAGGTTGTGTTGTCTGCCCACTTTCCTTTCTTGTGGAGTGATCTGCAAATTTCTGTGCCCCATCCTTAAAGTTGGAAATAAATTGGGAAATAAATTCATCCCTATGTTGAGGCCAATGATATTTTTTTGTACAGGCTCAGTGGTCCTGGGCTCCCATGAGCTCTGACTCTCTTCCTTCTTAAATATATACCCAGAAGATGCCCTCCTACTACTGTTCACCTATCTACACCCCAAGTGTCAAAGACTGGTCCTTTCCTTAGACTGTCCTTGAAGCTCAGGTCAAAACAGACCAGACAGAAGAACGGGCCATAAGATGGGGCAGGTAGTATCCACAGGAAGGCAGTTCAGCCACCATTAGCTTTAGCAGTCATGAGAGGCCAGCCACCTTCTGCCTGGAAATGGTGACTGTACTCTTTTAGGGCATGGTGACCCTGGGGGATAGAAAGTAGGAAATGGGAGGATTGGCAACAGCAAAGAGTAAAACTGAAAGAGCACAGACCCAGTCAAAGTGTTAAGGGGGTTTAGAGCCAGAGGCAGGGGTCTCCAATTGAGAAAGTCCAGACTGCCAAGGGTTAGTTGCGTGACTGAAATCACTGGTGAGGGGGCAGTGGACAGAAGAAGCACATGGAACTCGTGCCTGGTCCAGGGCCAAGGCAGATGGGAAAACAGGCCAGGAGGTTTTGACAGCCTGGATTGAGCAACAAGCTAACAACCAAGCAAAGTGTGGGGATGAGAGATAATGGAAGCCAAGGCAAGGTTCATGTATCCCAGGGCCAGGCCACGGGGCTCAACCGTGATCAAGGTCAAAAATCTCCACAAGCCCTACCCCCATATAAACCAAAGTCACTGCCACTGAGTCAGCTACAAACTCAGAGCGATCTGATAGGACCTTATTGGACCTGATAGTAGAATTGCCCCCTTGGGTCTCCGAGACGTTAACTCTTTCCAGGAGCAGAGAGCCTCATCCTTCTGCTGAGGGGTGTCTGGTAGGTGCTGATCTTGTGGTAGCGACTCAACGTGCCCCCACTGAGCCACCAGCAAGGTGGCTTTCACCTTTCAGCAAGGTCAGAGACAGGAAAATTCTAGGAGAAAACCCAAAGGGAAGTCAGAGATTGGTAGCAGGAGGTCTCTGATGGGTAAGACATAGCCATCCATCATGTCGCTAGTTTCTGAAGGAGAGTCCAACTTTCGAAGATGGCGAGAGCAGTGTGGTCAAGGACTAGGACCCAGAGCTGCGCTGGACCTCACAGTGCTGGCAAGATGTGCCGTGAGCAGTGTGGCCTCAGGCTGTTCCCTGGCGGTTCTTACACACACACACACACACACACACACACACACACTTCTTTGGTTTCAATGATGGCTTTATGCCAGCGAGTCCCAAATCTACCACTGGACCTTACTCACAAGATTCACTCAGTGAACCTTCCATAGTACAAAGCAACTTTTATTTCTGCTTAAAGACACTGTGATTTCCAGTCAGCATCGACGGACACAATCTTTTTTTTTTTAATCAATTTATTGGGGCTCATACAATTCATCACAATACATAGATCAATTGTGTAAAGCACATCTATACATTTGTTGCCC